ATCGAATTGATGCTCGAGCTGGAAAATTGAGTTTGATTCCATTAATAATATTAGTGAAATTGCTGTGTGATTTTATTGAACTGAAACTTTTTATTTTAAGTGGGAATGTGACACTTGATTGATAAATTCTAGGCTTGGTATGGTAACCTACCATATCACTTTGGTAATTGATACGCTGTCGTTGAAGCTATCAAACTAATACTACTTTTCAAGGCAACTTCAGTATTGTCAAGTAATATTCAAGAAAATAGACAGTGCTAAAGTAACCTTGAGTCGTCTTCCAATGAATACTAAATTACTTTTCAATATTTGATTCTTACGGAAACTCTAAAAGATTAGTAATGTTGTGCAATAAAAGTAAAATTTCAGTGAGCTGCCTAATGGTATGCCACGTTTGATGCCACGTTTCTGAAATTGAAAGTTTCCTTCCTTCACCACCCTCTCCTCCTCCTCCTCCTCCACTACCACCACTATCCTTTTCAACTCCGTCCTCGTGCAAGCCACCGCCACCAACCTCTCACGCAAGCCACCGTCGCCAACTGCGATAAAACCCAATGCAGCAACCCTAAATCGCGTTCCAGAGAAGAAACTCATCCACGCAAATCGCAACGTCATTGCAAGCTTCATCTTCGCAGGGTTCCTAACCGTTGAACCCTAAATCGCACTTCAAACTTATCAAACCAAACCCTTTTGCAGGTTGGTTTTACTCTCCTAGCATTAATTTGGGAGTATGATTTTCCATCCTTCATGGTCTTTTCCACTTTCCTTTTCTTCCGTATCTACTTACTCAAGCAATAGATAAAAACTATACTCATCATTTTTTTTCCAGTTTATGACAATGTAATATAAGAGATAAATGCATCATAAAGTTACGAGAAAAAAACAAAATGTGTGATTCATCTTTTCTTTTGGTTGTAGAGCATCCCACGACTTTTTATTTTCTCAATGAAGAGAGTAAATGTTGCAAAAAGTTATAGAATTCTAGCTTAATATAGTACGAAATCATAACATTTTAATTTTGAACTAGGTTGCAACAGGAATAGTCCCAAATAGTGATTGGAAGCTACCAGAGATATTTGCAACAGGAATAGTGATTGGAACTTATTTTGCGGACAATGATATTTTGACAACATTTTGTTTACAACATTTTAACATCATCTACGTGTCATTTTGTGATTGGTCCAGAATTACTCCACAATCAATAATAATAATAATCATAAACACCAATATGAACCAATCACAGAATGACACGTAGATGGTGTTAAAATATTGTCAAAAAAATGTTGTGAAAGTATCATTATCTCTTATCTTGCTTTGGTGTCCTATTCTATTGGGCAATAGTTGAGACCACTTTCTTTGAGGTACAAAGAGAAATTTGAGGATGAGTTACTCATTGTTTTCACCTTTTATTTGAGGTTCCCTCAAAAATGAAGCTTAAAAATAGTTTGTATAAAAAATTGTTTTGAGAAACCCATGTCTAAAGTTTTCAACGCCAATCTTTATTTAAGAGAATATATAACTTTTTAGCAAATAGTTTTCTTCGAGAGTTAGTTGTATCAAACTTTTATGGTGCTAATTGTTGGGAAACCAAGCATCAGTCTAAGTCCCACGTTGTAACATCCCAAATTTAGTAATATAAAACTTACTAAAATGAAACATTACATGCATAATGATAAAACAAAATTACAGATTTGGTGAATAAAAATTTCACCTGAAGAACAAAAATAACTACCTATACTATCAACTTCACATCCCCCTTCAGCTGCTCCAACTGAAAAGACTGTATTCCTAAGCTCACACCATTAAGGTGATCATCGCAAAAGAGAAACAACATACAAAGATAGACCACACAAAAGCAAGGGTAAGCTAGAGTAATTTAATTGATTACAGTTATCGTGCAAATTAAACAAATACATAAGCATGTGTCAACAACATTTCAAGCATACAATGACCGACCATACATTACAGGCAATGACCGAATACTTGATTTTGACCATCCGGATTGTATGAATATGTAGCTTTAACCGTTCATGCACTCGTGGGTGTAGTAACTGGAAACCCATCAGCTGCCGCACGAGGTTAGCCCGTTATCCCTCACCTAAGGTGTCCCACCTTAGACTAGGGCTCCTGCTATTCTCACGACATGACTTACCCATCTCTACTTGCGACTTGGTAATCATTAGAATGTCAGGATGAACGCCGTGGATTTCGCTGTCCATATTCATACTTTACCACCACATTGATAACCAATCACTGAGACATTCCTCCTTGGAATTCTCTTTCATACCAGTTGGAACATCATACCTTACTTTTCCTTTTTACACCATTATGATAATGCATACATAAGCCATCAAAGCAATTATATCAATTAATTAAAACAACACACTGGAATAACTATGAACATAGGCCAAACAAAAATCACCAACATATAAGAACAAGACCAAACACCCTGTGAATGTTGGAGACCAATCGTTCTCTCACTACCTAAAGAGCAGGACCGAACGATCAATAATAGATACAGTTGAAGAGAAGGGCGAGCACTATTACTGACCGACAACTAGAGGATTTCGAGTACCACAACATGACCGAATACTACCACCATACCAAGTATTAAGTTTAGACCGAACGCTTATGACTTAGGCCGAACACCTATAGCTTAGGCCGAACACTTAGAGTTGATACTGATTACTAAAATATCATCGAACGATCATTAACAGGTAAGATCCATGAGAGGCCGAACGCAGTTAAGACCGAATACAAGTACGAGGTCGAGCACTAGTACAAGACCGGACGCTACTAAGAGACCACACAATCCACTAAGACCGAGCACTACTAAGAGACCACACTACCCACTGAGACCGATCGCTACTAAGAGATCCCACAACCCACTAAGACCGATCGCTACTAAAGGGACCACACTCCTCACTAAGACTGATCGCTATGACTAAAACAAAATGCTAGTACAAGACCAATCAATCATTAACTGAAGCCCTACGGAAGCAGAACTCAGTTAAGACCGAACGCTAATACAAAACTAAGTACGGCTAGTAACGAACGCTAATACAGAACCAAGTACGACTAATAACGAACACTAATACAAAACTGAGTACGACTAGGAGACCGACCACCCACCTAATACCGAACACAAATTCCTTAATTTCACCATCAAACTTCCTCACAATTCACTCGTCCATTGAACCAAAATTCTGCAGAAACCCAAACCTCATGAACATATCATATAATAGTCCACACAAGGATCACCGAACATCAAATCATTCAATTTCACACACATGCAGAATCATCAACCAAACAATTAAATTAACTAGCTTCCCTTACCTCAAAGCAACTTGACAAATTTAAACCTCTCCACAATTTTGCTAAACCGCAAGTGATCCTAGGACAACCTACAAACTTTGGATTGGTGAAAGGAAACCAACCACCAAACCCAAAAACAGAATCATAACCCAGATGAAGAACCGATGAACACATGCAAAACTGAACAGTGCTTGCATTTACCAAAAATTGCAGTAATTTCAAGAATCAAATAGAGACAAACTTATCGGCTCTAAACACGAAATTGATTGGTGGAATAGGAAGCCCTTGATCTCATGATCGTCTAGGGAGGTTCTGATCACTGATCAGATGAACCAACAGTGAGTAATTTTAGAGAGAAGGAGGAGAAAAGAAAAGAGAAGAAGATTTGGAGAGAGATGGTTGTATCAGAAAATGAGACGAACATTTGAAATTTTCCTTTATATAGTAATATTATTTTAATATAAATCATTCGGTCTCATTATTCCCACACACCTGTCCACTCTAAAATCTTTAAAATTCTCGATTCTTACACACGTTAGATAAAAATGAGAAAGTAGAGCACTATATAAAGATAAAAGACCCATATCTCATTTGGTATTGTGTCTTCTCTATAAACCCCTTCGGAGGACTACAAATTATAATACTTGAAGAATTAAAAACATATTTAAACAATAAATTACTCAAAATAATATAAACTAACTTGATTAATAATAATAATAATATTATGTTGGTATTTTTACATTATATAATTTATTTTTAACTATTATATTATTCAAAATTTCCATTTTACCATTTTAGAATTATATTTTAAAGTATTACTATTGATGGTTGGTTTTATTTTTATTTTTAAAAATATTTTTCATATTACATTGTGTTTTTCCTAATCTATTTTTTTCTTTATTTTAAATATAGTGTGTCTATTTAAAAATAAGTTATTTATTTTATTTTAAATTTGAATAAAATTATTATAAAAATATAGTATAGTATTAATAGTAAATACAAAGAGTTATATATATTATTAGAGTTTAAAATTAGTATTTTGTATATATTGTATAAATATATTTAATTCGTCTTTCACTTTTATTTGACGATGTTCCAAAAAAATTTAGTTTAATATCTTTTCGCTAGTTTTTTATAATATTTTTTTTTAAAATATATGATTTAAATATATTTTTAGTTCAAATGTAAAAATGATTTTTTTATTTTAAATTTTAATATATTTTAGTTTCTCAATTTAAAAAATATATAAATACAATGCTATTAATTTAAATATGTTATTTTTTTTACATGTTATTTGATGTTTGAAACTTATATTTAAGTTAAAATATATTAAATAATATAAATATTAACTTAATTTATATAATTATATTTATTTATTTTTTAAGTTTGTAGACTAAATTTACGGGAAAGAATTCTAATTTTAAGTTAATGTGTTGGAGTACAATTGTATGTAACTTTTTTTTTTTCTATTTTTATTTTTTTTTAAATTTTTTTTTTTTTAATTTTTTTTTTTTTTTTTTTAATTTTTAATTTTATTTTTTTTTTTTTTAAAAAAAACACAATGAAAACAATGATTAGATAATTATTATTAGATTAATTCAGGTATGGTGAGTTCGTATGACTTTTGGCCAAGTTCTTGAGGAACAGCAATCAGGGTGGGAAAGGTAATTTTTTCAAACTGAACTTTGATTCATTTCTTATCTTTCTCTCTTTGCAATTGCATCACTGCTTTTCAATTTGCTTTATTTGTCAGCTATTTGAATGATAATGGTAACCCTTTTGTTCCCAAAGGAACCTGCAAGTTTGTGATACCCAGAAGAAAAATGACTCTTTTCTTTTTGTTTTTGAAACCGAAACAACTTCACGTGCTCATAATTTCATCTGGGTCTTGCTCAAACAAGTCTGAATTTGTAGTGCCCGTGACCTGTTTGTGAAAATTCCCGTAAGACCATGCTGCTGTAGTGTATAAAATGGGTTTCGTGTATGAGAAATAGAGGGATGTGCAAGTCGTGTGCGCTTAAGTTGCCTTGTTTTTGGTTTTGTAAATAGTTTCTGTGAGTTTGAGGCTATTTGTAACTAATATTTTAGTTAAATGAAATGTATTAGCGATAGTCAGTGATTTTCCTTCTTTCGTGTGAAGACTTATTTTTTGTGATGTAATAAATTTTTTGTGATGTAATGACTTTGTTCCTCATTTAGTATTTAATAAGATTGATTTGACAATTGATTACAACCTTTTTTTGTTTTGCTTGAAGTCAGCACCTTTGGCTTGATACAGGTCAACAGATATGAGTGAAGAGTCTGACTCTAAAGTCGAGGCTATGGATCTGTTACGCCAGTTGGAGGATATCCTTGAATCTGATGCTCTAATGTAAGGTTTAGTGATTTCTTGCCCACAAACTTGAATAAAAGCTAATACTAATTTATTTTAGTAGATTTTGTGAGCTTCATTCATATGAAGTCTCTGGATGATATAACAAATTGTAAAATATAACCTTGATGATGGAATAACACCCTGTAAGCAATGCCTCTGGGCTAAGGTCAATCTTGTTTCTTTGTTGCTTGATTTAACTATATTATGTTTCCTCCTTTAAATATGTTTTCCCTTATGTTTTTGGATCTAGTGACGAGCTGGGCTTTATTCATCCCTCACAATTCCCTTTGCTAAAGGAAGAATCGGACATTCCGTGTAATTTATCTTATGAAGCTATCCATCAATCAGAAGATGGAGTAGTAAGCCCCGTGGAACCTTCCAAACAAGACAACATATATTTCTGGAACAGAGATCATAAACTGGGAATTTCAACTCATGTTCTTCTACCGTTATATAGAGCGGCTAAAGATGCATTTTTTATTACATTTAAACAATATAGAATGTGTGACAACCAATCTGGTAAAGGAATTTGCTTACCTGCCTCTTCTTGTGATCATCCTGAAAGTACCCTTCTGAGACATAGCAAGTCTCTTCTGCTGCTAAGCTGTGATTTTATGACAGCTTGGAATTGCAGGTTCTCCTCTTATCTATTAATGATTTTTTTTATGCTTTGTGTTGTTGAGATTTATAAGACTTGTAAGTTGACAGAGTCCAGTAAATTGTTTTAACTTATGATAACAGGTCTATTTGACATCATTTCCCTTTGTTCAAATGTCTAAATGATGACATAGTCTTTTTATGATAGAAATGTGCCACTTGAGATGAAAGTAAAATTTTACTGCACAGTCACAAGACCTTCGGTACTATATGGTACTAAATGTTATGTGCTCAAGAGTCAACAACAGCATAAGCTTAGTGTTGCACAAAATGTTGTGATGTATGAGGGAACGTACAAGATAGGATTCATAATGAATGTACTAAGAAAAAGATTTGTTAACCTCTATTGAGGGAATATGCTGGGAATTTGATTTTTGTTACCAACTTATTAAGTTTTTCTGTGCAATTGCAGAAAGTTAATAGTGTCCAAGAAGCAGCAGCTCTCAATGTTTGTAGATGAACTTCTGCTGTCAGGACTTGTACTCTCGTATTCGCCCAAAAGCGAACAAGCTTGGAATCATAGGTATTCATCTTATGGCTTTGACCTCATCACTAAAAGAATGAATATTTTCTAGATTAGTTTTATATACCTTTGAATTTTGAATATTAATTGATCCTCCTGACGCTTTGGAATGCAAACATCAATCTAATGTATAGAAGTATTTTATTTAGGCGATGGGTGATCAAGTCAATCTCTGCAAACTGTTCAAATTTCAAAGAGATATTGGGAAAAGAATCTGAGCTGGTGGAAAAAATAGCCGAGGTCTAATTTCAGTATGGGAACATCATACTGTTTAAATTGGAACTGTTTTATTTCATGTTTGTATGATTGATGGGCATTCGTACATGAGAGGAGTATAATTGTTACTTTAATTTCACCTTTGTTCTGACCTTTTCTCAATAAAAGGGCGTATTATACAATATTTTATTGCAACATTATCTTGTTAATACTTTTGGTATTTCAATCCATTATACATTGGTAATGTGAAAGAATCTCCAAACATCATCCTNCCAAGTACGACTAATAACGAACACTAATACAAAACTGAGTACGACTAGGAGACCGACCACCCACCTAATACCGAACACAAATTCCCTAATTTCACCATCAAACTTCCTCACAATTCACTCGACCATTGAACCAAAATTCTGCAGAAACCCAAACCTCATGAACATATCATATAATAGTCCACACAAGGATCACCGAACATCAAATCATTCAATTTCACACACATGCAGAATCATCAACCAAACAATTAAATTAACTAGCTTCCCTTACCTCAAAGCAACTTGACAAATTTAAACCTCTCCACAATTTTGCTAAACCGCAAGTGATCCTAGGACAACCTACAAACTTTGGATTGGTGAAAGGAAACCAACCACCAAACCCAAAAACAGAATCAAAACCCAGATGAAGAACCGATGAACACATGCAAAACTGAACAGTGCTTGCATATACCAAAAATTGCAGTAATTTCAAGAATCAAATAGAGACAAACTTATCGGCTCTAAACACGAAATTGATTGGTGGAAGAGGAAGCCCTTGATCTCATGATCGTCTAGGGAGGTTCTGATCACTGATCAGATGAACCAACAGTGAGTAATTTTAGAGAGAAGGAGGAGAAAAGAAAAGAGAAGAAGATTTGGAGAGAGATGGTTGTATCAGAAAATGAGACGAACATTTGAAATTTTCCTTTATATAGTAATATTATTTTAATATAAATCATTCGGTCTCATTATTCCCACACACCTGTCCACTCTAAAATCTTTAAAATTCTCGATTCTTACACACGTTAGATAAAAATGAGAAAGTAGAGCACTATATAAAGATAAAAGACCCATATCTCATTTGGTATTGTGTCTTCTCTATAAACCCCTTCGGAGGACTACAAATTATAATACTTGAAGAATTAAAAACATATTTAAACAATAAATTACTCAAAATAATATAAACTAACTTGATTAATAATAATAATAATATTATGTTGGTATTTTTACATTATATAATTTATTTTTAACTATTATATTATTCAAAATTTCCATTTTACCATTTTAGAATTATATTTTAAAGTATTACTATTGATGGTTGGTTTTATTTTTATTTTTAAAAATATTTTTCATATTACATTGTGTTTTTCCTAATCTATTTTTTTCTTTATTTTAAATATAGTGTGTCTATTTAAAAATAAGTTATTTATTTTATTTTAAATTTGAATAAAATTATTATAAAAATATAGTATAGTATTAATAGTAAATACAAAGAGTTATATATATTATTAGAGTTTAAAATTAGTATTTTGTATATATTGTATAAATATATTTAATTCGTCTTTCACTTTTATTTGACGATGTTCCAAAAAAATTTAGTTTAATATCTTTTCGCTAGTTTTTTATAATATTTTTTTTTAAAATATATGATTTAAATATATTTTTAGTTCAAATGTAAAAATGATTTTTTTATTTTAAATTTTAATATATTTTAGTTTCTCAATTTAAAAAATATATAAATACAATGCTATTAATTTAAATATGTTATTTTTTTTACATGTTATTTGATGTTTGAAACTTATATTTAAGTTAAAATATATTAAATAATATAAATATTAACTTAATTTATATAATTATATTTATTTATTTTTTAAGTTTGTAGACTAAATTTACGGGAAAGAATTCTAATTTTAAGTTAATGTGTTGGAGTACAATTGTATGTAACTTTTTTTTTTACCAATATGAATTATATTTAAAATATTTTTTATTTAAATAGATTGATACACTTATCAAATATTAAAGTTAATTTGCTCTTTTAGAAAAAAAACACAATGAAAACAATGATTAGATAATTATTATTAGATTAATTCAGGTATGGTGAGTTCGTATGACTTTTGGCCAAGTTCTTGAGGAACAGCAATCAGGGTGGGAAAGGTAATTTTTTCAAACTGAACTTTGATTCATTTCTTATCTTTCTCTCTTTGCAATTGCATCACTGCTTTTCAATTTGCTTTATTTGTCAGCTATTTGAATGATAATGGTAACCCTTTTGTTCCCAAAGGAACCTGCAAGTTTGTGATACCCAGAAGAAAAATGACTCTTTTCTTTTTGTTTTTGAAACCGAAACAACTTCACGTGCTCATAATTTCATCTGGGTCTTGCTCAAACAAGTCTGAATTTGTAGTGCCCGTGACCTGTTTGTGAAAATTCCCGTAAGACCATGCTGCTGTAGTGTATAAAATGGGTTTCGTGTATGAGAAATAGAGGGATGTGCAAGTCGTGTGCGCTTAAGTTGCCTTGTTTTTGGTTTTGTAAATAGTTTCTGTGAGTTTGAGGCTATTTGTAACTAATATTTTAGTTAAATGAAATGTATTAGCGATAGTCAGTGATTTTCCTTCTTTCGTGTGAAGACTTATTTTTTGTGATGTAATAAATTTTTTGTGATGTAATGACTTTGTTCCTCATTTAGTATTTAATAAGATTGATTTGACAATTGATTACAACCTTTTTTTGTTTTGCTTGAAGTCAGCACCTTTGGCTTGATACAGGTCAACAGATATGAGTGAAGAGTCTGACTCTAAAGTCGAGGCTATGGATCTGTTACGCCAGTTGGAGGATATCCTTGAATCTGATGCTCTAATGTAAGGTTTAGTGATTTCTTGCCCACAAACTTGAATAAAAGCTAATACTAATTTATTTTAGTAGATTTTGTGAGCTTCATTCATATGAAGTCTCTGGATGATATAACAAATTGTAAAATATAACCTTGATGATGGAATAACACCCTGTAAGCAATGCCTCTGGGCTAAGGTCAATCTTGTTTCTTTGTTGCTTGATTTAACTATATTATGTTTCCTCCTTTAAATATGTTTTCCCTTATGTTTTTGGATCTAGTGACGAGCTGGGCTTTATTCATCCCTCACAATTCCCTTTGCTAAAGGAAGAATCGGACATTCCGTGTAATTTATCTTATGAAGCTATCCATCAATCAGAAGATGGAGTAGTAAGCCCCGTGGAACCTTCCAAACAAGACAACATATATTTCTGGAACAGAGATCATAAACTGGGAATTTCAACTCATGTTCTTCTACCGTTATATAGAGCGGCTAAAGATGCATTTTTTATTACATTTAAACAATACAGAATGTGTGACAACCAATCTGGTAAAGGAATTTGCTTACCTGCCTCTTCTTGTGATCATCCTGAAAGTACCCTTCTGAGACATAGCAAGTCTCTTCTGCTGCTAAGCTGTGATTTTATGACAGCTTGGAATTGCAGGTTCTCCTCTTATCTATTAATGATTTTTTTTATGCTTTGTGTTGTTGAGATTTATAAGACTTGTAAGTTGACAGAGTCCAGTAAATTGTTTTAACTTATGATAACAGGTCTATTTGACATCATTTCCCTTTGTTCAAATGTCTAAATGATGACATAGTCTTTTTATGATAGAAATGTGCCACTTGAGATGAAAGTAAAATTTTACTGCACAGTCACAAGACCTTCGGTACTATATGGTACTAAATGTTATGTGCTCAAGAGTCAACAACAGCATAAGCTTAGTGTTGCACAAAATGTTGTGATGTATGAGGGAACGTACAAGATAGGATTCATAATGAATGTACTAAGAAAAAGATTTGTTAACCTCTATTGAGGGAATATGCTGGGAATTTGATTTTTGTTACCAACTTATTAAGTTTTTCTGTGCAATTGCAGAAAGTTAATAGTGTCCAAGAAGCAGCAGCTCTCAATGTTTGTAGATGAACTTCTGCTGTCAGGACTTGTACTCTCGTATTCGCCCAAAAGCGAACAAGCTTGGAATCATAGGTATTCATCTTATGGCTTTGACCTCATCACTAAAAGAATGAATATTTTCTAGATTAGTTTTATATACCTTTGAATTTTGAATATTAATTGATCCTCCTGACGCTTTGGAATGCAAACATCAATCTAATGTATAGAAGTATTTTATTTAGGCGATGGGTGATCAAGTCAATCTCTGCAAACTGTTCAAATTTCAAAGAGATATTGGGAAAAGAATCTGAGCTGGTGGAAAAAATAGCCGAGGTCTAATTTCAGTATGGGAACATCATACTGTTTAAATTGGAACTGTTTTATTTCATGTTTGTATGATTGATGGGCATTCGTACATGAGAGGAGTATAATTGTTACTTTAATTTCACCTTTGTTCTGACCTTTTCTCAATAAAAGGGCGTATTATACAATATTTTATTGCAACATTATCTTGTTAATACTTTTGGTATTTCAATCCATTATACATTGGTAATGTGAAAGAATCTCCAAACATCATCCTAAAGCAGGAAAATTGATGGGTAGGGGATATCAGATGATGATTTTGATTGTAGATTTATATATGCTTCACCATTTTGCCATCATTGTGACATCATATTTTCATTATTTTAATTAAATATTGATTTTTTTCCTTTTTGATACCTCATCATTTGCAGAGATCAAAAATGAATTATCGTGCATGGAATCACCGTTGCTGGTTAGTCTCATACATGACCATTGACCAGGTTTTGATTCTGTGATGTTTTCTTTTTGTTGTAAGTGTTATGAACTAAGCATATTTGACTGAAAAAAAATCTTAAGTTATTTTGTGTTGCATTTTTTATTTTAATTATAGTATATCAAATATAAAAATGAAGTTGAGTCAACAACTGAGCATTCAATTCCATTCCTATTTCCTCTTATTTCTTGCTTGTCAATGACATAATAAATGGTTCTCCTGAGCTGTACCTATTTAGGTTCTGTCTGAGTTAAGGAAATCAAGAAGTTGGGCTGCACTGCATGTCGCTGATAATTGTTGTTTCCATTATCGCAGAGTAAGTTTTGCTTTCCTTCTTTAACCTGACTAGTTATTGTTTCCATGCTATAAAAACATTTTGAGTAAAAATACAGTATGTTGTGTGTCCTTAGACAAGCTTAGGATTTTTCTCTTTTGCCAATCACGGTTTCTATTGTATTGCAGCGACTATTACTGAGAATTATG